GAGCAATCATCCCCATTCCACACTTAGACGTGAGATTAAGACTACAGCACAACGCTCTGCAGCAAGCAGGAAAAGCTGGTGGGAGGGGGAGAAGCCAGGGCTGCTAAAGCTACATAAAGCCAATTTTTCCTTCACACTTTCTATCACATTTCTTGAGGAGACTCCGTGGGTTCACTCCTGAGCTCCTGCTCAGTGCAATACAGGTTCCTCAGGCCTTTCCAAATTATGTTCACCTCTAAATACAGAACATTTTTGCAAAACTGAAGCAAGGTTCAAGCCTCTTGTTCTGGAAAAATACTCTTGGTATGCTTCCCTCCAAATGACCATCCCTCCTGATTCCTCCGTCCCCATTCAACTCCTAAAGGGCTACACAGCGACACCGAAATGGGTAAATCTGATAGCAGCTAAAACAATACATTTTCAGTTAGAGTTTTAGTTTGCTTTGTTTTGTTTTTAGCCAAAATTGACCTCTTAGCTGTCTGACAAAGCTTGCTGGATGCACAGACCATCCCCACTCCTCACACGCGGCACCAGCATGTCCTTGGGGTTCCTTTTGCTTAGGTGAGCAATTTTATTTGTCCCCAAATTTTTCATCCATGCAACTACCATACAATCATTTAACAACAACTGACAATTCTTAGCACTTTTATTCTCTTTTTAAATTTATTAGTTCCCTTAAAAGGTAAATCTAGTGTCCCCACAACAGCAGTCAGGATCTTATTTTTTGGAAATACTGAACTGATTAATCGATTTATTTGATCAGTAGGAGACACACTGTAATGACAAACATACACAGTCATTTCCATAATCCCAAATCAAACTGTTACTGAACTTTAACATTGTAGATACTGATATTTAAAGTTTGGAACTGTCACTTATTAATAAATTCAATAGGGATAACTGATCTAAAATCTACACATTACACTTAGGAGTATCTGTTATGAGAAATACACTGGTTTAAGTCAGGTGTCAGAATACTTGTCAGCTTGAGGCCATTTTGAACACTTCAGGTTGTGTATTAAGGATATGCTTCCCCGCAGGAATCTACTTACCTCACCTGGATTTTACAGAATGGTCTGGGTTTATTCTAATAGCAGCACTTCACCTCTTCTGAATATTCTTTCAAATACATTGATTAACGTGTCTTTTTCAAGTATCTTGCAAAATGGCCCCAGCAGCATCTGGTCTGACTTGCGTAAAGTGTCTTACTAGGAAAATGAAATTCTTTTCCCATGCTGCCCAACAGTAGGATGCTCATGTCCCTTCCAGGAGCAGCCAGCTCCACACGGGAGGAAGATGCATGCAATGTGAAAGAGTGCTGCCTTGAAAAAAAAATACACGTTTGTCTTCTCTTTAAATGGAGGATTTGAATATTTTTTCCTGAATTGAATGTTCTCTCAAACCAATAACTTTCTTGGCCTCTGATGGCTATTTGTAGCATTCTGCTGAAGGTTTTACATGCAAGCAGTTCCTATATATCATTCTCTCAATTGCACTCTTTGAATTTCACTTTCATATTGAATTTCATAGGTGATTTACTTTCTCTTTGACTACTACCTCCTGAGAAATAATTCCATGAATGAAAATAAGGGGTTGATATCACTCATAGGTGTGGATCCAGTGGGAACCCACATGAAATGCTGTGAAAGTCCACAGTGTGTGATGCTCACAACAATCTTACAAAACACTTTCATTAATGACCTACAGGATGGAGAGAACAATTTTGAAAGATGGGAGGAACTGCAAGCTACAATGAAAATGCAAAAATATAGAGCTCCCTTGAACAGTTAGAAACCCACGCAAAGGAAAAAAAAATACGATGACACGAAATTATAAATACTAGGAAGAAGGGAATAGATTCCTTGTCAGCTGTCTCTTCCAGGGGGCATTAAATGATGCTAATAGATTCAACGCAAGATTTACTTCACTCCTGCAGTTCTGCTGCAGAAATTCTTGCTGCAGGATATACATGTGTTCAAATTCCCAGGAGGCTCTCAAAGTACTCAGTAAGTACCGCCAGATAGCTGCCTGCTCGAATACTCCTCTCTAACATCCACCTCTTGCCACCATCAGAACTGCTAGGGCTGCTGTTATGCTTGTTAGCCAAAGTTAACAAAATGCCATATGAAGCCCAGAACACTGAAGGGAAAATCCTGAGGATTAAAAAAAAAAAAAAAACACTGCCAAAAAAAAGCTTGAAGTGACTGAATTAGATAAATAGAAAGGTAAATATGGAAGGAAGTAAACCAGCGCTAATCAGAGGCTGTTTCTGCAGGGACTCTGAAGTCTAGCTGAACCGGTGCAAACACACCCAGTGCGCAGCTGTAGGCATGCAGTCCCTCGTTTCCTGAAGAACTGACGGGCAGGATGGGCTTCACAGAAGAACAACCACATGATTAAGAGACTAGAGTGTGATTTATGAAGAATGATTTAAGAAAAGATCTTCACAGCTTGCTTAAGCGATGATGAAAACTCGAAGTGACAGCCAGGAGAAGAAATGGCTTAGATTTATTTAAAGAGTGTGAGCATCATAACAAGGGGGAAAGAATTAGGCTCATACAAAAGGGGCTGAAGTTGAAAAGGAGCATGAGGTGAAATACCAAGAAGCATGACCAAGGTTGGGAATCATCTTGTCATGGCTTGTGACACACAAAAAAGTATGGACAAGGCAACTTCATAGAACATGTGGTAAGGGATGATTGGGTGCTGGCCCACAGGAAAGATCAGTGGTGCTCGGGACTCCTGCGGACCCTGATGCTCACCCTGGCAGGGTGCTCATGCTCCACACAACAGATGCCACAAATTCCGTCATTTCTCATGATCTCCCCTGTCATGGTGAGCAAAAGCGTTACTCACAAGCACCTTCGCCTGGAATACATGTGCTATTAGCAACACCTGATGTTCAGAACAGCCATGCCACAGGGTGTGTGTGCTGTCCCAGTCTAACCTGAGCTCTAGGGCAGAGGGGTCACAGCAAAGAGCACTCCTGGGTTTAAAAGCTCTGCAGTACAGGAAGAGGAGGCAGTTGTTCATTAGTCAGCTGCAGAACAACATGCTGACAGCAAGTCAGTGACAGCTAAGGTATCTTAGCCACTATCTCGCTTCCAAATCAGATAAAACACTGAGTCTCAGCACTCGAAGGATGCTCCAGATGCTGAAGCAGTACATGCAGTGTCCAGCTCTGCACCATCTGCCATAGCACCTCCCTCTGCCTCACCCACAGTGAAGGCCCTCAGCTCTGGCCAGAGAAATGGTGCCTCTGCAGTTCAACATATACTGTATCACTAGATGAACCTCTTCCTTGAAAAGGCCCTTTATAGGAAATCAAAGGTTCTTCTTTCCAGCCCAGTGTCAGATGGTGGGTGCGGGCAACACTGAACTCCCGAGAGGTCTCTCTCCTCTTCATTTGATGTCCTACAGGCTCACAAGTGGAGAAGTGACCCTCCATCCAGCTCACTCTCTCTAGAGGCAAAGCATTGGGGCATGTTGCTTAGAACAAAATCCTAACGTGTCAGATGATGGGCCATTATTTCAAAGACCGGTGGAAATCCTGCCAACATGCGGGTTATCTACAAGCTGTTAGGTCATCAGGAGTCCTGCCAGCACAACAGGATAAGAAGCACAACTTGATTTTATAAAAACGTCACTCTTGATTGAGCACAAGAATGAGGGTGGTGAGGGGGGCTCGGGACTGAGGGAAAAAGGGCTGTACTTGGGAGGATCTCCCTGTCCCTGCCCAGGGACATGCCTCAGCAGCTTCCAGCATCAGTGTTATCTTGCTAAGTGCCCTCTGACCTACCTTCCAAACCCATGTGGGAGCAGCCTCCTGGGCTGTCTCTTTAGCAAAGAAAGAGCATGGGCTGAAGGAATGGGTTGGTGGGTGCTGGGCATGCACCAGGGACTGAGCAAAAGGAGGAACTGGGGAAACCAGGACCCTCCCAACGCCACGTGGCACTCAGGCCAATGCCTCTTGTAGAAACTGCTATGCATCAGCCGCAGAGGCACCCACTGTGTGGGGGACCAGGCCAGTTTAAGCCCCAGCCAGTGAAGAAACATCAGCTGCACCAGCAAAAATGGGTTCAGGGCTTGGCCATTGGCAGCCCTGTGCCTTGTGCAGCAACATGGGGAGGAAGGGAGGCAGCAGAAGCTGCTGGAGTCCACCCTTGTGAACATCATGTTTGGTCTGTCCAAGCACATTGTGCCTCTCACGCTGCACCACAACAGTTGTAAGTCTTCTCTGGCTTTTTGGGCTGAAAGGATTGCTCGCATGCTGGCTGCCATGCACGCCAAAGGCTGGCACTGGCACAGCCCTGTGGCTCAGACTGCTCCTTCCCACAGGAGGATTCACCACACAGCAGTGATACGCCACACAGCCTTGTCCTACCTCCTCGTGGTGGCACAACAGGACTGGCATGCAATTAAACCCCAACCATTAAAAACCATTAATGAAAAATTATCCCCAGAAACTGTCAGGGAAGCTTCACTCAAGGAGACAAATGCAGTGAAAGTGCAGAGACGGTGCAAGCACCTTGCTGGGCCTCACCCATCATTCCCACACTGTGGCCCTACCTGCCTGCGACATCCCTGTGCATCCTCCTGTGCCCAAAGCAGCAGAGATGAGCTCCTTCCCTCCCACACTGCCCACCCAGATCCAGTCTCTGGGATGCTCTCTTCTTGCCTATACCACCAAGACCCCGAAATGCTGCAGTCTTTCCTTGCACACCAGTTGCCCTTCAATGATTTCGGACTCCCTCTGTTATACACGCCCCGAATCACTGGTACAACACGCCATGTACAGCACATGTTTACATACAGACACCAAATACAAATCTGCCAAGAGCAGCTGATCTGGCTACCTACTCCTGGAGAGCAGGGGAGCGGACAGCCTGGGGAGGTTTATTCAGAGCAATGTCAGCCTTCCCATGCCACTACCTTTTCTTCAGGGAGGGATGAACATGGCTGAAAGGGGCAGGATAAGGGGGTCTGAGAGATATGATTACCTGTATCCTGTCTTCTGGCAACTCTGTTTTCATGGCCAACATCTCTCTAGCATATACGTCAGGATAGTGGGCCTCATTGAAGGCCTTTTCCAGCTCCTCCAGTTGGTAGGATGTGAAGATTGTCCTGAGGGGAGTAAAACTCTTTGATCAAAAAACGTAAGAAGAAGAAGAAGCAAAGATGATGAAGAGTCAGAGAAACGGACATAGAAGCTACAGAAACCTGGGTAACCTGATAAACTCATAGCTTCCCCCCGCAACCCCCCATCTCCTGTGTTCCTGTACACAAAAGGTCAAGTGCCAGGGTGAAAGGAGAACCAGAAAATGCCAGAAGACAGCGCTTTGAACAGTTACAAATCACCTTCCCTTTAGGGACTTCCTTCTGGAGATGGTCCCTCCCCAGCAGCCAGCACTGGCCACCGCAGTGATGGCAGCTGCTCTCACATCCCAGCCCCTGCTGCCTCTTGTGGTGATCCTGGGGGTGTCCCTATCCCTCACCCCCCTGCCTCTGACCGGAGAGCAAACCCACCCCTGGCCTGGCTTAAAACCAACCCCCTCCTCCTCTTGCATCCAGAGGTTTCTTAACCCTTTGATAGCCACACTGAGATGAAGCAGCACCCCCTCAGCACCCCATTTGGAGAGGTGCTGAGCCTTTCCCCAGCTGCTGGTCCTTCGCCTCTTCAATCTCCACAAGCAAATAATCCTCCCCTGGAGCCCTGGTCCTCAGCTGAATCCTCCAAAGGTTTTATCCGCTCTGCTCCCCACTGCTTCTCACCAGTCCTTCCCTAGGAGAGCCAGTACCAGCTCCTTTCCTCTGCCTTTAGCCTGGTTTGCTTCCACTCCGATATCCCATTAGCTGCTCCCTGCCAGCTTGCATTACCCCATTATCCTCTGGAAATCCTCCTGGACCGCCCTGGGCGGGCAGCAGCCCAACCCGCCTCTGCGCAGCCAGTTCTCAGCTCGGGACAACCAGATTGAAAAATCAGCAGCTGGAAAGCCGAGACGGATGAAAGCCCTTCTCCAGGGGATGGATGAGAGGTCTCGGACCACTTCCACTCTCCCGAGGGTTAAAACTCCCACCCTCCAACCCCCCCAGTACACAAACCACAATTTTTGATAAAAACTAACAACACTCCAATGGCAAAAAAAAACCCCAAACCCCAACGAATTGCAGCCTTTGTTCAAAGTAAACATATAAATATATTGTCAAACTAAGAAACACGTAGCTCCCAAAAGGGGAAAGGAAAGAGGTGTGTGTGGGGGGGAAAGTCTTTTTCTAAAATACAACCGAATTTCAGAAAAGCCCTACGATTCCAGAGACCATAAACAGAAAATCTCAGAAATATCCTCTGCTATTCAGAATCAAAAGGATTCCACCAGATCGATAACATTACTAACAAAAGCAGCATGCAAATGCAAGGGACCTGCCTGCAATCAGATCCTTCCTTAAATTCACTCCTAAATCTATTCTCTTTTTAGTTTTCCTTCAGCTCCAACAAATTTGTGAGCTCCAGGGACAGCAGGGGCACATTAACCCCTGTATTTTGTCTCTCTGGGACCACAGGAAAAATTATTCCAATTTTGATCCAGTTTAGATTTCAAGCATTCCATTCCGCTCCACCCTCCTCTGGCCAGAGCGCGGAAGCCCAGCAAGGCTCACCGGCGGGAGGGTTTTGCCTGGCATTCAGCTGAAGTTTTCCCCTTTTAGCCCTCGTCCCTGGGTCACCTCCGTCTCTCTCCGTGATACCCAGTCCACTCTCCCTTTTGGTGTTTCTATCCTGCAGATATCTGCAGACTATTGGCCTGTCATCCCCCGGCCAGTTCCTGGTACAACCAGAGGTCTTAACCATTTCATACAGAATAGACAACTACAGCTAAATGTTGCAGGTTTGTTTCTGTCTAGAACTGGAAATAAAATACATCTGAATTTCATTTCCTCTCTCCCGCCCAGACCGTGACCTGTACGCCAGCCCCTACTGTGTTTTCATCCAGCCCTGCCCGGTCCACAAAGCAAATGAACCCGTATTTACTCCAGAGCACCCAAACTGGGACCATTTGCCTGGGGAGGGACCCCGGGTTTGGGATGAGCCCTCCAGACCAAGCCTCCCATTGCACGAATAGCAGGATGTCTTCTGGGATAGTCCGTCTCCTTCCACCCCGCATCCTGCTAAGCTTTCACTGGGGCATCTTTTAATCCACCCTTCCTGCATCGTGGCAGGATTGATTTAATTATTCCTAAATCACCCTCGGTGGATGCTGTCTGGCCTTCCTTTGTCCTGACTCTCTGGCCACAGAAATGCCAGAATCCAGCATGGGATTTTTCGTTTGTATTTCTAAGGCACAGACAAATCCAACTCCATTTTAACTGTGGGAGAAGTCAGGCAAAGTCTATGACTCTGACCATTCCCGAGGGGAAACCAGCTCCCTTATGGATCTCCCAAAGTGGATCTTCATTTCCTTAAGCAATTCTCCAGCCTTCTTCAGCTCCTCTGCAGGCTGTGTCCGATTCCCACCTATTTAATCTATTGGCAAAACATTTATTTATGAGTAATAAAATATTTAAATCACCAATAGAAATTTTCCCTTGCTGACAGCCAATATTAAGATTGCTATATGTGGAGCAAGGAATGCTTTCAATTATTTTAACTGCTTCAGTTTTGGACAGGTTGATGATTTCCCCCCCCACCCTGAACACCGGTGATCCGCATCCCGCCCAGACGCTTGCGGGCTGCTCAGGTTTGCGGCTCAGGATACCTGGATCCGCAGCCAGAAAAATTAAATAAAACGACACCTGTGGCCGACAGCCCACCCTCCCTGCTCCCTATAGGCACATCCCCAAATCCGATTTATTTTGGACGGGGAGGAAGAAAAAAAGGAAAGGGCCCAGGGGAGAAGCCGCAGGGGT